CCCGCTTCCTCCCCTTCCCTAATTTTGCTCCTTGCTTTCGGCTCGGTTTGGTTCGAAGTTCAAACTTACGTGTGATAATCTCTCTTTGTGACAAGTGCTGCGGGTTTCCCTGCTTGCGACGGGACATTGCCCTGGCATTTACACTGGCATCGCCCGGAGAGCTGCACTGGTTTGGGGAGATGTGTCGGGGGTGACGATCCTCCTCTTTTTTCCCCTTCTTTCTTCTTCTTCTTCTTTATCGGCTTCTTCTTTCAAAAAAAAAAAAAAAAAAGAAAAAAGAAAAAAGAAAAAAAAAGGGGAAAAAAAAGCCTCCTTTCTGTCGCTGTTGTGGTGCACTAGCTGGGATCCCTTCTCAATTAAAAATCATCATCATCATCATGAGGAAGCTTTCTCGCTCTGCTTTTTCTCTTTCAGATACTCTGTCTTTTCTCCACTGCTGCTGCCACTTGGACTTCCAGATCTCTTCTTGAACTTAGCAGGATATGCACCGCCAGTGACACTTTTCTCTTTCCCTCTTTCCAGAGTGCTTGGCGAATTGGCAAGTGCGCTTTTCCACCAGGAGGGTAAAAATAAAAATTAAAAAAAAAAATCAAAAAAGAAGCAAGAATATCAAAAAAGTACTAGAATTGGGATTGCCCACACAGAAAAAAAAAAATGCCAAAAAAAAAAAAAATGTTTTTCAGCGATTGACCCTTGCTGGGTAGATATATATATAATTTTTTTGAAAAGGGGTAGCCAAAACTGTGTCTCCTCTTTCCCAGTCCAAGTGGCAGTGCTCTGCCCTGGTGCTTTTGGGTTGCCAGTGCTCCTGCACCACTTTGCACTCTTCCCCCCTCGCCTGGCACTGGGACTGGAGGGAAGGAAGCCCCCAGTGCAGCTGGGCTAGTGCTGGCTATTACTATTATATATTGCAATGTGAAGATGGCGGAGTCCTGGTTCTCTGGGAGCGCTCTGTCTCTCTATGGCTGGGGCTGCCTCTGTACAATGGGATAAAATTCAAGTTCAAGTGCGGACGTGACGTTTAATCTGCACTAGAGACAAAAAGACCCAGAGAGTAGGAGCACTGGGGGCGACTAGCGGTGGCTTTTTAACATTGTACCCTGCAAGAGAACAAGAAACACCACTCGCACACACTCACACAAACTAAAGCACATGCACGGAGCGGGAGCAGCTCCGGGCTTTGTGCGGCGCTGGCTCTCGGCTACGCGGAGTGCTAGGAGGAAAGGAGGTTGGGGGGGAGCGGG